TTACATGCATTAACTTACTTCATCTCCTCCATCACCCTGTGACGATAATGCTACTATTATTTTACAGATTAGAAAGCTGAGGCTGGGCGTGGAATGATAAGAGTCCGAGGTCACACAGCTAGGCCACAGAGCCAGGACATAAACCCAGGAATGTCTAAGTCCAAAATCTGTGCACTGTGTTATAATGTGAAAAGTTTCACCTTTATTAAATGATTCAAGATGAAAAAGCCACAGAAATTTACCAAGAGTAAAAATGGGAAAGAGGCAACTAACTCAAGATTTTTAAGGGATCAGGGTGTAAGGAAGACTCGTAACTGGGTATACACAATTAAAAGTGAGGCCTAAACCGAACCTGAATTTGTATAATGAAAATATAAAGGGAAGAACATATGGTGTGAGACATTAACAATAAAGCTGGCGTTGGCAAGAAAACCAGAATTCCTTAACCCCAGATACACAGCCCTTTCATGAGTCCTCAGACTGCAGGTAGACTTTCAGGCCTTTTAATCAGTTCCCTTGGGTACATTTGACTGGCCCTTCAAGGCTCACCCTTTCTGACTCACTCAGGCTCTATATTGTTCTCCCGCATCGAAACCTGACTCATCTGGCACTACGATGACTTTTTGTGGTATTTTTACAGGATCAAGTCATCAACTATTTCAGACCACTGTATTTTATGCAAGAAGGAATTTTATCACAGATGTTTTAGTTGGGCATTTGGTAGCGAGTAACAGTCTCCCAACCTTGAGAACTAAAGGTGGAGGGGGGGGGGGGGGGAGTCTCTCTGTAAGGTTTTAAGGGTATCTTATGGAACCCAGGAGCAGCAATGCAGACAGGCACAAAACATTGGGGAAAAAAGTGCAGTTATCAGCAATCAAGGCAGCTGTTTTCATCATCTTTTTCTTCTAAAGTTGTACGGTCTCTCATTTTTGCTTGATCCTCTTTTGCTTCACATCCATGTTCCAAATGCAGCTTCCCAGGACATTGGTTTTCCAATTCCAAATTCTTAGAAGAAATCACCTATTTGGCTCAAACGTCCACCCCTTGTCCAATCCTCTGAATAGCTCCTCTCTGAAAGTGGCATAAGTAATCCTCAGAAAATGACACAAAAGTTGGGCAGACATCCTAAAAGTTATCTACTGTAACATTTCCTGTATTTCTGTTGTCTATTGGAGGCTTAGACTTTTCTTGGGGAGAAATAAGCTGCATTTCTCAAGGTTGGAACCACTGAATGCTAAATTCAATCAAAATGAACCAAAGATTCTTTGGCTAGCTCTTAGGAATGTTAAAACAGGGACAGAATTCTACATTAGGGTGTAATTTCCTTAAGACGACACTTTTCTGTGCTTCATTCTTTGCTTATTTCCACCCTTTCTGATGGGGCAGTCACTTGACATACTGTGCACCAACAATTTAGATTCTATAGTTTTCACTTTTTTTTTTCATTTAAAAAATGCCCTCTTTCTGAAGGAGGAAATCAATGCACGAACCATAGTCAAACAATGGAAACCCCCAAACACTGGCCCCCTTACTACAGAAAAATGAAGTCTTCAGAGTTAGTAACAGATGAGGGAGAAAAAAATGAGTTGCTGCTATAAGCTAGAGACACTATGTTAAATGCTTACATTTTAATCCTCACAACAATCCTATGAAGGATACCACCGTTAGTTATCTCTTTTTTATGGATGATAAAAATTGGGTTTTAAGAACATCAAGTATGTTTTCACACATCAAGTATGCAGCTTAATATGGATTCAGAAGAGAAGCAAGGGACTTAAAAACTGGGGAGTGGGGGGGCGCCTGGGTGGCTCAGTTAGTTAAGCGACTGCCTTCGGCTCAGGTCATGATCCTGGAGTCCCGGGATCGAGTCCCACATCGGCCTCCCTGCTTCTCCCTCTGACCCTCCTCCCTCTCATGCTCTCTGTCTCTCATTCTGTCTCAAATAAATAAATAAAATCTTAAAAAAAAAAAAAAAAACAAACTGGGGAGTGGGGAAAGGCTGAAGGAAACAGAGACCTCCCATTCAGCATTTTTAACACCAAAAAACTGCATTTAAATATACCAAAAAACTGCATTTAAAACTGCATTTAACATCAAAAAACTGCATTTAAATTTAAAAACTGACGAAATGGTAAGAATACATGACAGCATATGCAGCTCTTTAAAAATTTCAATTCCAGCTAGGGGTCACTTAAATTTTTACTCTTATTTTAATATTTATCAGTATAAAAATGTACCACTATTATGAGAAACTTGAACAATTTTCTTTCCTGACTCAGCATCTGCCCTTCTGCTCTTTTACCACCAAATTGAATATGCTATACTTGTTGTCCCCAAAGCCTCTTCTTTCTCCTATGCTCTCAACCAGTCTTTCACCCAAATACTCTCATCAACTGCTTACAAAGATCAGCAGGCAACTCCTTATTGCCAAAACCAAGAGCCTTTTCTTGCCTTTCATCCAACTTAACCTCTCCACTGTTTAATGTTCATCACCATCGTGACACTTTCTATGGTTTCTGACAGCCTCCTTGATGACTCCTCTTTCTCCCCCAGTTCCCTAAGTATTCCAAGGTTCAGACTTTAGCTCAAACATCCCCATGCAGTGTTTCAACAACCTGGATTTGAATGAGAGCTAATGTGCATTTTTCTAAGAACTACGATTCCGAAAAGTTTAGGAATCACTGGTAAAGATTAAATTCTGAACTCCTCTGCAATTTGACCACCCTCCTCCAACTCTCACAACTTCCCCTATCATGCGTAACAAACCACACTGTACCTTTGCTGATGCCATTTCCTCTGCCTGACTTTCCCAGATTTCTCCATGCAGTATTTTCCCTCCTCTATATTTCTACAGCACTTTGCATCTGCCGCTAGTATATATTTACCACAATGTATTTGATTATATACAAATCTGTCCAAAGGACCAAATCAGTATCTTTGTGTCTCCAACATGAGGAGGTATTTCACTAAAATACCAAATCTTGTTCCCAAGATATCAACCAATTTGTTTTGTGCTCATTATCAGACAACAAAGACTTCCTACTCATTTATGACAAAAAGTTTTAAACATACTATTTAGTGAAACAAGTAGTTTTTACATTGAAAGCAATTCTTACCAACTTAATTAAAACTAAAACCCAAATTGTCTGATAGGGTAGCACAACCAACACATCAACTTACATATCTTAAAACCAAATGTTATTAGTAGTAATAATCACGAAGTTCAAACAATATTGAATACAAGATTTTTAATAAAACAGGAACTTTGGGGTCATGAGAGTAGTATTAGGATTTGAACTATTAAGATACTAAGATGCTTGCTCTTTTTAAGTGATTCTAATCCAGGAGTGTTTATCAGAGCCACTTAAGGAGTGATGACAAAACACATATATTCTCCATTCCCAGAAATGTCGAGTTAGTAGGCCAAGAATGCACCAAGACCTGTGGATGTTTTTAAATGTTCCCAGCATTTTCTGATGAACAGTAATGGCTAAGCACTATTTTCTATGATGTATGTTTGACATGCCTTCAACTTACACATACATGTATTATTACTATTTAAGCATTTTCACTACTTTGAAATATCTTAAGCATTTTCACTATTTTGCCCAGTCACTTACAGGGCACCCAACTTTTTGCAATAGGTGTATTCCTTTAAAGCTTTATGTGCTTTTTGGTTAATTGAATTACCTCTCAAAGTCATTAAGTCTCAAGATAAAGAAAATTTTCTTAAGTGATATTTTCTTTAAATTAAGGTATACAGAGTACAGACATCTAGCTCATTAGATGAGTATGTTCTGATAAACAGGAATTATTTGCATGTAAATACACTGAATATACACTCTAGCCTTCATGAAAATTAAGCAACTGACGAAACACCTATTAAAGAGTATACTTGCATTAATATACTCAATACTAAGATTCTGTAACTAGAAAAAAATCAATATATTCAGCATTTTTAAATACTTCCTCGGGAAGCCTGCTTCTCCCTCTCCCACTCCCCCTGCTTGTGTCCCCTCTCACGCTCCGACTCTGTCAAATAAAATATTAAAAAAAAACAACACTCTATAAACTTACTGTAGAATTTCAATATTATTTTAAAACATCTCTACTATCACACTCTAAAAAGATTTTTAATCTCCTGACTTAATGGGTATTTTGCTCAAGTGAGCAACCCTCTCACATAATCCTCTTCACACATCCTCAATAGTGAAAAAAATTCTAAAAATTATCTGAAGGAGTTTGAAGATTCAAATTCTAATCCTTGTTAACTTCAAAATAATTGTACATTCCATTAATTTCTATAATTCAAGTAATACTTCCTATTGCACATCACAAGCTTAAGTCTTGTATTTAGGAAAACTCTGCCTGTGTTTTTATGTGTATCTAGAGTTGTCCTATGCATTCAAAGATATTACTGACAGTGTCAGATTGGGCCTGGAAAAGAGACAATGGAAATCTTAATCTTTACCCCCACTGTACACATGTGGAAAGTAATTGGACTTTTAGTTTTAAAATATCTAAAATAAAGTCACTGTTAACTTCTCCCTTCCTCTTATTCTGTTTTTATTAAACGTTAGACATACATAAACCCGAACATAACTTTCAAATAATTCTTGCCATGGTTTACCAAAACATGTTACCATTTTCAAGAATCTTCATGTAAATTCAAGTTTTTAATAAATCAAAATATTCTGCACTGCTTTAACAAGGGAAACCAGGTTTGCAAAATGACATTATTACAATTAACATGAATCAATGTGGACTTAAGAGTTAAAAGATTTTTTCAAGTTTTATTTAATAATTAGTTCATTCTCAGGTGAAAAATTAGTAATCTGTTAGTGCCCCTACTCTTCCAAGTAAATATATCTGCTCACAATAATTTTAGTGTCTGAAATCAAGAATCTATGAACAAAAGGCTAAGATGAAGAAAATAAACCACAGATTTTTCTTACCCCATACCACTGCAAATATTTTAAATGCATAGGAATACAACAAACTCAAAAGAAAAAAAATAGTGTTTTATTAACTACCACACTGTTATAATACACTTTAAACGTACAATAAGGTAGCCTTTAAATTTGAGGTGGTCTTAAGAATAACAAATGAACAGAATTCCAAATTTTTGAAATAGGTGAACTGCTGCAGTTATAGGTATACATTTAGGAAAATTGTATAGCTCTTACAAGACCAGCAATGAAACTTTATTTTGTACATTTTTTTAATAATTGAAAATATAAACAATAATTAAAAAATAAAAAGAAAATACAGCATAATAAAAAAACATACATTTCTCAATTAAATGTACTGGATACATATAAATTTAAAGGGAAGAAGCAAAAAAAGGAAAATGGCTGATATTTAAGTGCAGACTGACTACTTAGACAAAAAAAAAAAAAAAGACTTAAAAAAATATCATAAACCTCTAGTTTTCTATGACTAATATCCGTATGGTTGGAGTATCGTCACTATGGAAGTGATTTTGTTATGTTTGCATATGTTATACTTTACTGGCAATTTACATGATGGCTTTTAAGGCCCTGGCAGACATATGGTTTTTGGAAACAAGACTGGATAAAAAAATCACTGCTAAGACGCAATACACCTTATTTTTTTGGTCCTCCAATATTCAAGAAAAGGGATAATTCACTGTAACATTTTCTTACCACCCAAATGCCTCAACCTATACATTTTAAACTTTTTTTTTTTTAAACATTGGTTATATTGCCCAACTTCGTTATTGAAAGAATATTAACAAGACATTATTTTGGCAAATTAAATCTTAAACATGGCTTTTCAACAGGATTTAAAAGGTGACTATCCCTAGAGTTCCATGTTAAAATGTAGTTTTCAAAATCTTACAAGAGTAATGCTTAAAATATTGTACATAGTTAACCTAATTAAAATAATTAGCTTCAAAATGACAAATTGATAAGCTAAGTAAAGCCTACACTATGTAACATTTGCTTGGAAACTTGATTTGTCAGTTATGCATAATAAAAATTCCAGTCATCAAGAAAATTACAAAAATTTTTTTTATCATAACATGATTTCTTTCACCCACCAACTTTTTTTTATCTTACAATAGATAAATACCAACATGTTCTCATTTTTACACTAAACCACACAGGATTGATGCATTTGGTTAGACTACCATTCGCATTGTTAAATTCAATTTTCTCTTTATATAACTTGGTAAAATTTCATTTCTTCTAGATTCCAAAAGTACCTACAAAACCCATGCAATTTTACCATTTTTAATATACTATGGAATATCATACAAAGTAAGGCATTTCAGTGTCATGTATAACCAAGTTACTGTCAATCCAAAAATTTTTGCACATCAATAAAAAGATATCTAAGAACTTAGGAACAATATTCTTCTCACTACTGTATAAAAATAACCACAATGAATAAGTATTTGTGTAATATTTACTCCATTGTCTCATTTCCAGAAACTGTGACAAGCTGTAAAGGTATTTCAGTGTTGGTAAGGATATCTTGATTGCTGGTGGTGGAAGTATTAACAGTTCCTATCCCTGAAACAGAACCTTGTTGAATATTTGCAAGGATAAGTGTTGTTCCTCCTGCAGTAATCAAAGTATCATCTCGTGCAGCTTCCACAGATGCCAGCACTGTACTGCTAGAGTGAATACCTTTTTTATTCTGATGTGTTTTAATATGTTTGGCAAGGTGGTCACTTCTCATAAAGCGTTTTGAACATTCTGGACAAACAAATTTCTTCTCACCTGTTAAAAAAAAAATTGTTACTCAATTTTTTAAATTCAACATTAATAGACTGATCATTTGCTGAGAAAGAAAGCCAACCTAACTGACAGGGACAGGAAGCAGAGTTCAATTAAAACTGTATTAGTACCATGAGCTGCCCTTGCAAGATCTCTCTCTTAAGAGTATTTTCCCTCAAAATAAATCTGTCATCTTTACTTTTCGATGAGAAGCGATCTTCAAATATTACAGACTGATACTCAGATGAGACTTTAATCTTTCAACTATGCCAATAGTTTTGAAACATCTGTTACAAGAAAGATACCATACAGCTAAAAAATGACTTCTTTAAAGAGTGTACTGTTATTTAAGATACTATTAACATGTCATATCCATGATAACTAAACCTTCAACTCTTAAATGTGAATTCAAGTAACTATGCAGAGTACTTCGAGATTAAAGCAAAAACACAAGCTTGAGGTCCATTAAGACTGAGTAATCCCAGGAATAATGGAGATGGCTAGATGACTTGATTTTAGCTGGAACAGTCAAGAGCAAGCCTGATATATCATGATATTAAAGTTAATTTAAGACCCTGATGCCTAAATTTATTTCCCAGCATGAACGAAATACGTTTTTTAATACAAAAGACAGGCTGAAAGTCTATTTAATGTTAGAGACCTACTATGTAAGAGAGTTACTGGAAGGTCAAGCAAAAGGCCAATCTAAAGGGAATCCAGAGAGAAATCAATCAATAAACAAATCTTGTATTTTCTTAATTTCCTTCAAAATTCTTACCATCTTGTTCCAGCACCTCCACCCTAAGTAGGTCTTCACCAGGCTTCATGCCTGATCTATGCTCTGATGACACCTTAAGTCGACTTATTCCCTCTCCAATCCAATAAATCAATGCCAGACAAATCTTCTTGAAATACCAAATTGTATTACAGTGTAAAATTCCATCATTATACTAAGTGGTATGGGAATACAAGCGTAACTTGCGGATAACTAACTAGTTTAAATTCTCTACTGCCTAACTTAATAGGACCTCTTTGTGGCTCAATCCTACTTATTAACAGAAATGTGCTATATAGAATCTCATCTTCACTCATGGCAAATGGTCTCTCACCTCTTCTATTCACATACTGTTCTATTCTTCTGGGAAAGTATTTCCCAGCGTTTCTCTTGGAATTAATCCTGAAAGATGCTCCATGGAAAATGGCACATCAGAGGAAGTTGGGAAATGCTACGCATACTGCATCTCCCCACTCAGACATACAGTCTTGCTAACGTTCAATTAAAAGTCCTAAGAGGTGCTACCCTGAAGGTACTTGTGGTGACCCTGTTTAACCAAGTGTTTCCCACATTCATTTGATCAGATTTTTTTTTCCTTTCACATTATTCCTTTTTATACCCTGCTGATCAAATTCCACAGACAAAACTTCTGTCATCAGGCCATCTTAAAGTCTACTATCCCAGCCCACTGCCCAATAATCCCTTACTATCCCAAGCAGTAATGATCTCTGCCTGTGAGCATACTTTATCTACTCTCCTACACTGCTGCAGTTTCAAACAGTTTAATAATAAGCTCATCTACCTACCGAACAAGTGAGACAGAAAATAAAACAAGTAGAACATGTAATATATATACTACTACATACTTCACAGGTTATTTTGTATATTTAAAGAGAACGTAGGAGGTGTGAAAGCAGAGTCAGAGACAGCTTATTTGCCTAATCTAACAGAGAACCTGGATTTGAATCCAGATCTAGGAGACTTCAAAAACCAACACAGTCTTTCATTTCACCACGCTTCTTCCTTCCAAGCTCTCTAGTGACTGTAAATATAGATTTTTCAATTCTTCAGTGTTGAGCATAGACTGATGAATACCTTGACCATTATATGGTAGCAAGAGAAAACTATCTCTAAGATATATTAAGTTAGGATTTAATTTGTGTCATTCCTAGGCTCTTTTCACATAACCACACAATACGGTGTATAAACAATTAAGTCTTTCCATCAATAACATCTTGGTTAATCCTCAATGCAATGTTTTTTGCTTACCTCATAGATATTAAAACGAGAAAAGGTGAAATGCTTAGAATTACTCTTTATTGTAGTATTGAGGAAGAAGAGTAAGAAAGGTCAAGAGTAAAAGCAGACAACTAATTTAAAATGTTAACATAGGGGGTGCCTGGGTGGTGCAGCCAGTTAAGTGGCCAACTCTTGGGTTCAGCTCAGGTCATGATTTCAGGGTCATGAGATCGCCTCTCATCTGGCTCCGCGCTCGGCGAAGAGTCTGCTTAAGATGCTCTCTCCATCTCCCTCTGCCCCTCCCCTCCATACTCTCTAAAAGAAATAAATAAATAAAATGTTTATTATGTTAAAATGTTAACATAATAAACAAGAAAAGCATCAAATGTGGCTTAAGACATTCAATGATGTTAAAGCAAAACAAAAAAAGCTAACTAAAAAAGGGGGGGAAAAGCAGCCCAAATAAAATAAAATGTTATTTTACAAGGTAAGCCATATTGGCTTATTTGGAATTACTGTTTCTTTTACTTTTTCAAGATTTTATTTATTTGACAGAGACAGAGAGAGAGAGCACAAGCAGAGGAAGCGGCAGGCAGAGGAAGAAGGTGAAGGAGGATCCCCTCTGAGGAGGGAGCACAACGTGGGGCTTGATCCCAGAACCCTGGGATCATGACCTGAGCCAAAGGCAGACGCTTAGTGACTGAGCCACCCAGAGGCCCGGAATTATTGTTTTTACATTGGTATTGCTGAAGATAAAAAATGGATTAACTGGTCATATTTTAAAAGATACAGATCAGTAAAGTATGCTTTAAAAAAAAAACAAAAAACTTCAAGGTAATATGTTGCCCTGTAATTCATTTTTGTCTGGTAAAAGTAAATATTAGTAACCTGTATGTGTTCTTCTGTGCCTCTGTAATTCATCACTTCGAGTAAATCTTTTACCACAGAACATCCAGTTACAAACAAAAGGGCGTTCCCCAGAATGCCAACGCAGATGAGCTCTCAGATGTGAGGTCTTCCCATAGACTTTACCACATCCTGGTATATGACAAATGTGTTGCTTCTTTTTCCCAAGATTGGTACCTCTAAAAAACACACAAAGAATAATATATACTTATATGAAAATATTCAAATAAACATTACCACTTATATCATATATTCCCGTGTTGAATTTCAAATAGAAGACATTATTACCATGAGGTCAATCAGAAACCAAGACCATTTAAAATCAATTTAAATAAAAATTTGTATGTCTCAAACATATAAGTATTACATATTAATTTTACTTCAGAATTAATATGATTGCTGTCCAAATGTAAATATGCTCAAGAATTACATAATTTAAAAGGACATTTCATAAAGAATGTATAAAAAGCTTTTTATTATTCTGTCAGAACCATTCACAAATTTGATGCATAGGCCCAATCCACCTTATGTTAGTTGTATAAGAAACTAAATGGTCTATTCAAAGTCATGATGTCGGCTAATTTAAAAATTAAATTAAAACCAAGAAATGACTGCAAAACTAATCACACGTACAATTAAAAAAAAGATAGGCACCTTAAGCAGACTTTAACATGACTTAAGCGTATTTATTCATATATTTGTATAGCCACACCCTGAGTATACACTGACTTGGAGAAAAATCAAAGGAAAAAATCTAGACAAAGCTATTGTCTCAGCTTCCCTTGAAATAAATATAAATCAAAATTATCTTAACAATTAAAATTCCCTTCATATTAACCATGCAAAGATATCCCAAATTATATACATCAGTTATATAATAAAAATACAGTTCTCCACAGCGCAAAATTTGACGTTTGTTACATTTTAGTATTTGATATCAAGAACAAGGTTTGGGGGATATGTGCTTATTAGATGAATGAACGCAAGTATTTTGGCCTAAGCAAGAAGAAAACTTTTTTGATTCCAGAATTGATATTCAAATAAATATTAAACACTATAGAAAATGTTATTACTCAAGCTCAAAAAAAAAAAAAAATATAGGCTAGTTACTGAATAAAAATAAATGAGTTCACAAAAAACATGACATTTTAGACTGTCAAAATCATATAAACTTTGCAATGTTTCTGAGATTTTAAAAAAGGTACATTTAAGAACCCCGACTTCCCCTCCTCCCACAATCTCACAGTCTAGGTATAGCCTGTGAACTTTCCATAAGCCTGCAAATCCTCCTTTATATATTATACCTCTCGTTTTTCAAATTTTACTGGAAAAATGCATATTTCCCCACATTTATATTTTAATGTACTCACACTCAGTAGCATGTGAAATTGCCATAGGACAAACAGTGCTAAACGGTGCAGTGCTGGCTGTTAGATGCCATAGGTGTTCTGAACAGGGAGACATCAATGTGGGCTCCAGTAGTTAGAGAAGGCTTCGTGGAAGAGGTGGGTAGGATTTAGATAGAAAGGAGGGAAGGCATTCCAGGCAGAGGAATAGCATAAGTAAAGACAAGGAGGAGTCATGCTGTTGTCTTAAGGGCAAGGACGTCATAATCTAACACAATTCTCATTTCTGCTCCAGTCCACCCCCAATTTCTACAACTCTTTTCCAAGAGCTGAGTTGAGTGAAACAGGTTTTTCTGGCTCACCTGCAATGCCAAAGTATTAACCAAAGCCAATATTTCCATTTAATTTAGCTTTTAAAATTTATTTTATTCTTAAACAGCCCTAAGAAAAAGAGCAATGTTTGTGATTATTGGTGTACAAACCAATTTTACATATTGTGTTCACCATAGCAATTTCACAGAGAACCCAATTCAGTTCACTCTTGTACTCATGACTTCTTGCCTCTATGCTAAGCATACCACTCGAGTGAATTGATGTGCTTTTATAAACTCAAAAGTGCTATTTTACTAACTTAGCAAAATTTAGCTTGAGAGCACTAACAAAGCACAAGATTGTAATAAATTACAGTAATGAATCTGGGTTCTCAAAGAACCAAAACGCCCGGGAAAGATTATTTTCAACTGAATTTAAGAAAACAAGAAATACTCTTTGAAAATGGGATAGGCATCTAAGAAAAAAAAAAATGGGGACAGGGATGCACACAAATATATGTAATGTAAGGGAAAAGCCAAATACCCGGGTCCAAGTTTCTATTTAAAAAGGAAATTTTATTCAAGATAATATCTATATATGCTAGATATGGATTTATGGCATGTGACATGAAGGAAGAGAACTGACTTTCTCAACAACTAAAAAGATAGTAACAGATTTGGCCATAAGTTTTCTTCTTGATTTACATAATCAGACCACTAATACCTATCATACAACCTAGAAAAAACAAACAATTTTAAGTTTCTATTCCTGATTGCCTAAACTTGTTCTCAATAACTTAACAATGCCAAGACAGAGTGACACAGAATAAATAAAGCTAATTTCAGTATGGGAATTAAAAGTTAAGTATATCAAGTGCTTTCTTTTGCTTGGGATGGGAGAAATGAGACACCAAGTGAAATGCTGACAGAGAAGAAAATTTTTAAAATATGGATCAATGTTTAATCCACACAAAACCCACATAACAATAATGCCTTTAGAATTTACTTTACTTTATTAAAATTATTTGTCTCTCCCACTAGAGTAAAAAGTTTCTGAAGGCTAGTTCTGCTTAATAAATATTGGTTAAATGACCAGATGAATACAATTTTAAATATTTAATTATATTTTATATTTTTTATAAATATAAAATAATTTTACATCTTGCTCAAGAAGGTAAACAAAATTTTATTCTCTAAAGTTGTCACTTTATACACACATATACATGTACACGTGTGTGTTATGTGTGTGTGTCAAGAATATGGCTAAGGAAAAAAGGCCAATATTCTAAAATTTTTAAAGTACTCCCTATTTCACCTTTGCAGAATACTTTGGAATGTTCTGGATTTACTATATGCTATGCTTCTATTAATTAGATGCAACAACTGTCAATGACACAATTGTACCTATCATGTATGTTAGTTGAAGTTTGTTCAAATTAGCTCTAAAACAATAGTTTTTTCTTAAGAACTTCAATTTTGATTGCTTATAATAAGTTTAAAAAAAAATTCACAAAAGTTCTAGAAAAAATTTAAAGTTAAGTCTCCTTATAAGGTATTTCATAAAGACCGACCAACTAAAAATTTTGTGCTAAATAAATTAAGTGATACAACTCTTCTTTTACTTGTGTTAACAATGCATTATGCAAACCACTGACAAAGTTGAAAGACGATGTAAAATGAGGAAAAAAACATCTGCATATATGACAGTTAAACACACAAACTGTTAAAAGATTCACAAAAGACAATTTACAACAGAAATCTTAAAATGGTAAAATAACATACCAAAAAATGAATCTCACAACGTAACAAAAAATATACTAAATGAAACAATAATGAGGAATTATTTTTTATCTGTCAGATTTTAAACGGTATTAAAAAATGTGAAATCCATTGTTGGCAAGGGTGTGGGAAAGCAGATACTCTCATACAACACTGGTAGGAGTATAACTTGATACAGATAGAAAAGCAGACAATTCCCTTTGATCCAACAATTTCATTTCTGCCAACTTACACTGATGAAGTAATCAGGCAAATGTGTAAAAATGTATGTGTAAGGATTGGAATGACAATAATAAACTCTCAAAAAAGATATTCTTATGCATCCATACAATAACAGAACAGCCATTAAAAAATTGATGTAGACTCTATACAGACTTGGAAATATGGTCACAAAATTTTTCAAAATAAGAGCACAGACAGGCAAAACAGTAAGAATAAGATGATTCCACTTTAAAAGTATGTAAAATGTGGAAGGATATATAAAAAAATGTTATAATGGTTATCTTGATAGGGGATAAGTGTGGTATTCTTTTAACATTATTCTGTGTTTCTGAATTTTTATGTGCATATTTTAGTTTAATGAAAACAAATCTAAAGGATTTTCAAGAAAATGACAAGTAAAACATAAGCCAGTCTTGACCCTCAATTAGATTTTTTTTTTTTTTGAGCCTCAATTAGATTTGACTTTCATGAACAATGTATCTGAAAGTTATTCTAAAAATGAGAGTAAGTTTCAGGAAAGTTATTGCCTAACCAAAATTCCACATTTACTTATTTAAATTGACCAAAACATTTCAAAGAATAAATATTTCAAACAATTAGAATAATTACCAGTAAATACAAATACCTAAGGATCAGATGCAGAAGCAAATCCACTTGTGAGGCAGTAAGTACAGTATAGTGGTTAAGGCTCTGGAGTCAGACACTGAGTCCAAATCTCACTTGCGTGTTGCTCTTAAAAGTCATTCAACCTCTCTGTGCCTCACTTTTGAGACGGTCTAAAACGGTCTAAAACTCTCAATGTTAGCAGTTATTAGTCATTATTACCATCATTGCAAATGGACTGGCCAATGTGCAAATCAACTAATAGCACCAACTCAAAGGCAGCTAGAAAGGCTATTTCTAATAGATGAAGTTCATTAACTGAATTAATAGTATGTTTCATCTAAATTTAAACAGTGTTTCTGGGAGAGATGTGCTAAGGCTTTTCACTAGGACTGGGGATTTGATCTCTATGTCTTTACAGTGTTCTATCAGTTTTTGCTCTATGTATTTCAAAGTTATGGTGAAAACTTCGCATTATTAAGAAACCTACCCCTATTTATCCATTTGATGATATTCACCCTAATCCTTCATCGCTTAACAGTAACATTGCTATCCAAGTTTTCTTGTTAACATTTCCCTATATTATCTATTTCCATCCCTTTATCTTCAACACTCCTGTGCCAGTTTGAGATGTTCCTTATAATCAACATAAGGCTGGATTTCGTTTTTTAAATATGATCTGAGTTTCAAGTTCTTAATCATCCACATTTAATATAATCAGTAATCTGTTTTTAGTTTTTCCTGTCATGTTATTCTGTCTTAACATTTATTTTTTTTAAAGCACTAAATTGAAATACTACAGTTCCACTTTTTAAAAAAATTCCATCATTAGGCTTATTATTCATTTCTGTTGAAAATAGAAAATGTTTAGAAAATGTTTATGCTTATCAACTATTTCTGAACTTATTTTTATATAACTGCTATTCTCAAGCTAAAAATCAACTTTATCTTATTTAGGCAAATCTCATTGCTGGTTTGCAAATAGGCTAATTTCTGGTATGGGCCTATTAAATGGCATCTGCTACATTTTTTTTTTTAAGGCAAATTAAGTAACTTTAATTTTAAAAAAGGCGTTTAGATCTAAAAATTCTATCTTATATATTTTGTTCTCTAACTTTTTCTGCCACACTCATACAGACATACACACAAAATGATGTAATGAATAAGTTCCCATAATTAAGTGATACAACATGCAGTATTTCAAAAATTAGGGTGATGATATTAGCAGCCTAAAAAAAAAAAAAAAGAGTATGTTTCATGTGTGCATACCTCCCACCACCTTCTTTACAGTTGGGACAGGTGCAAGCTACCCTCCGAAGTCTTTTTCCTTCTTGATGTTGTTGGTCCCCTTCTTCATCTACCACCTGTACTCTTAAATGTGTTAGATCATTGGTATTCAATGTAGAATCGCCACTGAGCTGCCACTCTTCAGGATCAGGTTCTTCTTCCTTGATCCTAATATCTAAAGAAAAAAGCAAATACAGATGAGAAGCAGCCCACTGGCCCAAAAAGCATGAGATCTGAGCCTCTCTAAGGTAAAGTGAATACTATGTAAAAGTCAAAGCTCATGTTCGTGGAACATAACCATTGGTCCTTATTGTGACTTATTCTTTTAAAACTATTTCTATTTTATTCTAAATATCAAAGAATTCAGCCAAAAAAGGGAATAAAGCCAGCATGAGAGCTTGCTTTTTTTAAGAAAAACAATTTTTTTGAGCAAGCTGAATCATCAATTCTGAAACTTCAATTATATATTGTTCAACTAGTCAATAAATCCAACAATCAATTCAGATTAGAACAAATTCTAATGCCTTAAACCTCTTTTTCATAACCTGTATCAATTAATCATCCCTATCTATAGGTACTATGTGAATGCAAAAGAAGGGGTCATTCACTTGAATCTGTTACTCACAAATTTAAGCTTTAAATTAAGTCAATCATTACTAAAATATCTACAATAGCCATAACATCATGGTGGAAAAGGGTACAGAACTATGAGACAGTTTCTTTTTTCAAGGAGTTTTATTACAAACCAGACTGGGAAACAGAATGAGGATGCAATGGTAAGGAAGAGTGGACATGGCAGCAAGTTATGCCATTTTCTCAGCAGAGCCAATCACCTTTATTTATACTGATAATGATATGATATCATTTTCTATGTGAAACTAAGATGTTTTTTCATCTCAGAAAACTTTTTTAAAGAAACAATATAGGGGGCGCCTGGGTGGCTCAGACGGTTAAGCGTCTGCCTTCGGCTCAGGTCATGATCCCAGGGTCCTGGGATGGAGTCCCGCATCGGGCTCCCTGCTCCTTGGGAGCCTGCTTCTCCCTCTGCTTCTCTCTCTCTCTCTCTCTGTCTCTCATGAATAAATAAATAAAATCTTAAAAAATAATAATAATAAAATAAAAAAATAAAGAAACAATACAGGATTTAGAACAAATACTGAATATAACCATTTTTGGTAAAACAAATTCTTGTAGATTTTTACTTCGACTTATGTAAACTAAAAATCTTTTTTTTTTTTTTTTAGATCTAGATCAGTCACTAATTACTGGGGCAAAAATAGCCTTAAAAAATCAAATGTGCCTAGTAACTCCTGAATTTAAACTAATAAAAACTAGAATATATAGCCAACAATAAAGAAAAATGCCTCAAACAGTTTAAAACTAGTTTATTTTATCAGAATAACCACAACTAAGATTCAGGCAGGAAAGAAGGAAGAAAGGGGAGTCTGGCCTGGGCAACAGGGTAGATAGTTGTACCATTCACTAAAACAGGAATACTGGAGAAGGTCCAAATAGAGGTAAAGAAGGACAATTAATGAGTTCAAGGTTCAAGACCATGGAGTCTGAACTGTTCATGAGACATACAAGTAAAGAAGTTGGACCTACAGCTCTGGAGCTTAAAAAAAAAGAGGCAAGTGCTACAGATACAGAAATTATCAGTATAGGGATGTTGAGTGGCTCAGTCGGTTGAGCATCTAACTCTTGGTTTTGGCTCAGGTCATGATCTCAGAGTTGTGAGACTGAGTCCTGCATCAGGCTCCATGCTCAGCGGGGAGTCTGCTTGAGATTCTCTCTCCCCCTCTTCTTCTGCTCCTCCCCCGACTTGTGCACACTTGCTCTCTTAAAATAAATATATAAATCTTAAAAAAAAAAAAAGAAAAAGAAATTCTCAGCATATATACAGTGATGAAGTCCATCCAAAGAAGTAGGTGAGATCACTCCACAACTATAAATAGAATGAGAAAAAAAGTTGCCTATGAGGAATACAAACATTTAAGGAACCAGCAGAAGAGGAGGAACCTGCAAAGGAAATTAGTATCCAGAAAAATGTGCTACATCAAAGAAAGCAAAGAATGTTATTTCAAGAAAGAAAGGAAGTAGTCAACATCAAATCTTGCAGATAAATGAAGAAACTAAACTAAGAACATGGGTAAGAAGTGAGAAAGTGTTTAATATAAAGTACAGGTAAGTTTTTCAAGAAGTCTGGTTTGAGAGACAAAAACATGGCAGTAGCTTAATGGGACCAAAGAGGAGAGTTAAGGGGAGGAGTGTTTTGTTTTTAAAGACAGGAAAAACCTGAACATGTTTAAATGCTTATGAGAAAGATCCATTATAGACAGGATGAAAATACAGGATTGAAATCCCTAAAATGTGAGGAAGGGATGATAAGCCACAGCACTTACAGGTTTAGCTAATGGTTTAGCCACAATTGCCTCTATTACATGAAGTAAGAAAAAATACAAGCATATTCATTCGTCCAGTAAATAATTAGCTACTATGTGCCATGAACTGTGCTAGACTCCAGACCCAGAGAGAATTCGATGACTGGAAATTAAGGGAAAACTGGTTTCTCTTTCCTCAGTGAAAGGATGAAGAATTAAACTATGTATAAAATTCCTCCAAATACACAACATAAATGAGTACTGACCTCTGTTCCTTTATAATTGGATGTCCATCTGCATCACTATGACAAAATACCTAAGTAACTTGCAAAAACATTGCACAGTACTAGCTTTATCAGTTAAATAAAAGACATAATATATGGATAACATATATCCAAAGTTGGGTAAGTTTGAAGTCCACAAAATGAGGAATTTTATCAGATGTTTTTAAAGCTGCTTGTCTTACATTATTGTGACAAGACAGCAAGTAAAAAGGACAAAATACTAATATCAAGAATGGATAAAGGAGTCTAGAGAGAAGAAAAGTTTTACAGACATAAAGAGAACAAAAAAAGCAACTGATAAGAGAGGGCAACTTGACCGAGGGGATGAGGGTATTATAGCACATTCCTGCTCCTATTGCTAATTCTCTTACTGGAACCTACAAAATACGTTTAAATAATGTGTCATGGACATGAATATTCACAACACAGGACATAAAACCTAACATATAAATTGAACACATCTGGTCCACCTACCAAACTTTCTCCTTGCATCCCTCTTAGTTTTACAGCATCATAAGCCACCTAATTGCTCAAACTATCAACTCTAGGTGACTCCTGTCAGTCCATTCCCAGCCTCTCATCTCCCTCTTTTGTCAATCCATCTTCTCCACAGCTTCCAGAATTTTCTTCCTAAATAAGAATCTAATGGCATCACTTTCCTGATAACCATACTTACACTAATTCTCTATTTTCTACAGTATAAAGACCAAACTCATTAACTTGATATTCAAGAATGTTCTCAATCTGGCCCCAACCTGCTCTTCCAACTTCAGTATTAAAACACTAAAATTCTCATCATTTTCAAAATATATGCCCTTTGTCAATGACACTCTTTGTGTGTGTGTTTTGCCTAGACTGTTTCCTAGTCCTTTCCTTTTTCATCTAACCTCCATTTATTCTTCAAGGCTAGTTCAAATATCATCTCCTTTATATATACTTATGGTAGTTAGATTTATTGGCTCATACATCCCTTTAGATAATAAATGCTTCACTCCAGGGTGCTCAGAAAATACAATCTAACTAAATGAACAAACTTTCCCTAAGGAGGAACTTCCAATATAGGTAATAATCTACCTGGAAAGACTTTGCCCTCTACTTTTCTATGCTCCTTCTATCTGCAAATAATACATAAAGAGATTTTTTATAAGATTAAGAGTCATTTCATGGGGACAGGACCACAAAGTGCTCACTAAAAATAATAGATTAATTGCCCAACAAGTGTTACGCCAAGTTTTAATCACTTCACTTGCTCATACACAATCTGGGGTATTTTAGAATCTTAATGATAATAATAATCCAAAAAATCTAAAACAATTCCCCTTTGCCAACTGCATACCATTTTAATTACAGACACCTTAAAAATAAGTCTCCAGTACTAGGTGGTCAAGGTTACATCTTCCTCAATATCTTAGCGTAGATGTTAGGAAAATATTTTTTACTGTGCTCTATTTATTAATGTCCTATATGTGGTGCCTACTTATTCTTAGAAATCTACGATTTATAAAGCTCAGAAAAAGGGGAAATAATAATCCATTAAAATGGCCCACACAAGTATGAAAGGGTACACATTATTATTAGGTATCAGGAAAATAAAAATTAACATCACAATGAGATATCCTACATACCACCTAGACGGGTAAAATTCAAAACAGACCAGGCCAACTGCTGGCAAAGTAGTGGAACTGAAACTCTCCCACACTACTGGTGGGTGTGTAAATTGGTATAACTTTGGAAAATCTTATAACCATATCTTCTAAAACTAATCCAATGTATACCCTATATCTCAAGCAATTTTATTCCAACAAAAATGCATACACATGACACCAAAAGTAAAGAAATTCACCCTAAAATGAAACAATTCCAATATCCACTAGTATTGGAATGGGAAATAAATCATGATATATTCATTCATACAATGAAACATGTTATGAAAATTAACAACCTATATGCAACAGAAACGAATGTCACAAACATAATTTTAAACAAAAGGCTCACGCGCACGTGCTTTCACTCTCTCCAAATTCCATTTATATAAAGCTCAAAACAACAGGTAAAACTACTGTATGGTGACTGCCTACCTTTAAGAGGGGTAATGACTGGGTATAGGGAGATTGCTGGGTTGTTGGTAGTATCTTATTCTCTTGATCTGGGTGGTAACTTTTCCTAGGTGTTCATTTTATGGAAATTCATCAAATTATACACATATGATTTCACATATTTCTGAATGTATATTCAATATGCTTACACTCAATATACTTATATTCAATTATACTTCGATGTAAGTATTATTCTAAATAATTTTTTCCAGTAATCTATAGGAGATTACCTAGGAATTCTGTGTCGGTCAACTTCTTTTGTTGTGGTTTCATCTCTAGTTCCTACGTAATCAGTTCTAACACCTTCCCCCAACATAGGAATTTAAAACAAAACAAAATCCTTAGGATGAGTATGCTCCAAAGAATAAGTCCATAAACTGATGTTTAGAATATAATGTTATTCACTCAGTAAGT